ATCAACCTTTGGTTGGTTTAGTAAACCTGCAAAATGCAGATTGAATTATTAGTTATATCTGTCTCCTCTTATCATTTTTGGCTTGTACTTTAATTCTATAATTTTTTGACTTCATGTAATTTGAATTTAGGTTATGGGCTGTTATGGGTTAAGGAGATATTCCCAGTCCAGTAGATGAGTTATGTATTTCATGATCGATACGAATCAATCAAAGTTATTGAGACTACTTACCATGAAACTTACATCTAATTATCAATATGAATCACAAAAACCTAATTGAGATCAATAAGCTTAATTACACCTTATGACCGATTGAATCAAATGAAGTTATTAAGAGAATGAAATTCAACCTTTCATAGTTTCATATCACTTTTCCCTTTTGATTAACCATGGAAGGTTGTGACAGGAATAGGCCATTACCATATCCCAATATATTACTAAATGATAACTGTAGGCAGTAATAATTGGCTGCAAAAGGATCCTTAAGAGGTTTTAAATTGACATTGTGTTGACATATAACACTCCATTGCAGGATCTCATTTCATTTTTTTGGCCAACCTGCAACATGAGTTATGATGTGAGCTCTATAGCAGCAAGTTATGGTCTAATGACATCAGATCCGGAGACAGATTTTGTACATCACATAGCCCTATTTGCAGCCCTACTCTGTGCTTGCATTGTAATTGGTCATCTCCTTGAAGAAAGTAGATGGATGAACGAATCTATCACTGCCCTTGCAATTGTGAGTTACTGACTTCATATACAAATTCTTGTTGTGCATAACTTTGGTTTTACTTTTGTTTGTCAGTTTGTACTTTGTTGAGGTAAATATTACATAACTTCTGACAGGGTTTAGGCACAGGATTTGTTATTTTACTAACATCTGGTGGTAAAAGCTCACACGTATTGGAATTCAAGCAAGAGTTTTTCTTTATATATCTCCTTCCACCAATTATTTTCAATGCTGGGTAAGTTCTATCTTCTAAATGTCGTTCTTATTCTTTTTCAAGGATCTGAAATTTCTCATTGACTCCCTAGCATGCAATTAAATGATTGACTATAAGAATCCTAGTTTGAAGTACAGACATCTGCCAGACTTGTTAAATTTCCTGTGTTGAGAGCTTGTTTTATTGTAAAAGTAACAGTAGCATTTTGGTGAGAGATGCTCTTAGTTGTTGAATCAAGCATTAACCAATGTGAATAGCCTACATATCTTGTTTTGATGCTACAATACTTCATATTGATGCCTTTTGGTGAAGAAGACTTGTGTTTGGATGTGTTGCATTTAACACCTTTTCTGAGAAAGGTTAACTATTTACCAGATTTCAGGTTAAAAAGAAACAATTTTTCCAGAATTTCACGACCATTACCTCATTTGGAGCCATTGGTACTTTGATATCCTTTGCTGTCATCTCATTTGGTACGTTAAATAAAATGTGTTTAATAGTTCCTGTGTAAATGATTATATAAACTTTGATCACAATGTTTTTGTTTTATGGTGATTGAATAATTCAGGCGCAACACATTTGTTTCCTAAACTGGGTATCGATTACCTCGACACAAAGGATTATCTTGGTATGTATTCTCTTTTCCTTTTGACTTTTTTTTTTTTTTTTTTTTAATTTATTTATTTATTATTTTTATGCATGGATACATTGTCCAAGGCGTTAGAATATGGAAAAGCTCTTTGGTGTCATTTTCTGATGGTTTTATTCTTTGCTGTTGGGAAATGTTGACATGTATGACATCACTAATTATCAGTCTAGGCTAGATCATGTTATGCTAACCTATGCATTCAAATTGTTGTCTTCTGGTATAATTATGGGAAGCACTTGGAGCCATTTTTTCTGCAACAGATTCTGTTTGCACCTTGCAGGTAAAAATGTCTTGATTGTTCAAAAATTACAGAGATGATCATTGTCGTTAACTTTGTATCTTCTAATGGGCAGGTTCTTAATCAGGAAGAAACACCACTGTTATACAGCCTAGTGTTTGGGGAGGGTGTTGTTAATGATGCCACATCTGTGGTTCTTTTCAATGCAATTACAAAATTTGACCTATCAGACATGAACTCTGTCATCGCCCTTAAATTTGCTGGAAATTTCTTGTCATTATTCGTATTTAGTACTTTTTTGGGAGTTTCGGTAAGTCTTTCTCCCTCTCTTTACATATATCTATATGTGTCTGTCCATTTCATTTGCTTGAGTTAAATAAAATAATCCAAGGGAAGGCTTAGCAGTATTGTAATGTTGCTCATCTTGTTTTGTTCTCGACAGCTTCATAATATATTCTACTTGTAGGTTGGACTGCTCTGTTCATTCACCATTAGAACATTGTACTTTGGAAGGTATGTGGTGATGTTGTTTGAGTAATTTACATATATATATATATATATATATATATATATATATATATATATATATATTTAATAAAAACCATAAATGATTGGGACAAATGTGTATTCAGGAATTCAACAGACCGTGAAGTCTCCCTTATGATACTCATGGCTTACCTTTCATATGTATTAGCTGAAGTAAGTGATGAGTAGTTAATTTCTAACTTTTACTTGTTGTTGTTGGTGTCGGCATGAATAACATTTTTCATGTAGGTTTTTGGATTAAGTGGGATCCTTACTGTATTCTTTTGTGGTATTGTAATGTCACACTATGCTTGGCATAATGTCACCATCAATTCACAAGTAACTACAAAGTGCGTTGCCCTTTTTCACACTTTCCAACCAAAAAACTCTTTTCCTCTTTGGTACTTATATGAGGAGTTTGTTGGATTGGATTGGATTGCAGGCATACTTTTGCAACAATGTCATTTATTTCCGAAATATTTATCTTCATGTATGTTGGTATGGACGCACTAGACCTGGAAAAATGGAAATTTGTAAACGACAGGTAAATTTTTTTTTTTTTTTTTTTTTTAAATCAAATAATAATCCTATTTAGTATTTTGATCGAGATTCAAATAACTTTTTTCAGTCCTCGAAAATCCTTTGGGGCTAGTGGTGTACTGCTTGGATTGATTATGGTTGGAAGAGCATGTTTTGTGTTCCCAATTTCACTCATATCCAACTTAACCACTAAATCAAACAGTAACAGTAACAAGATCGAGTTTAAACAACAGGTAACTAACTAACTTCAACTACCAATTCTATTTTGAATTTTAAAATTAATCTGTCACATCACAGGTTACAGTTTGGTGGTCTGGTCTAATGAGAGGCGCTGTGTCCGTGGCTCTTGCTTATAAGAAGGTAGGTAAAACTAAATTTTACTATTTAAAAAGTATGTTGCTATTTTTGATAGTTTACCCTGACTGTTGATACATATACATATATACAGTTTACCGGGTCTGATGAGCAAACTATGCAGCCAGAAAATGCACTATTGATCACCACCACCATCATTGTTGTTCTTTTCAGTACTGTGGTAATGTCTTGTACTATTATTTAACCAATAATCAATTGTTCATGAGAAATTATTTATTTATAATAATTAATTATAGGTGTTTGGATTGTTGACTAAGCCTATTGTAAAGTTTTTGTTTCCTGGATCCTCCTCACATGTTGATGAGAGCCAAGCATCGAGTCCAAAGTCGATCATGATGCCACTTATAGGCTCAGGTGATAGAAATGTAGTAGTAGTAGAAGAAACAGGTGGAGGAGAGGATGAAACAAGCAATCTAAAATGGCTATTTAGTAACCCTACTAACACCATTCATTACTACTGGAGGAAATTTGATGATGCTTTCATGCGTCCTCTTTTTGGTGGAAGAGGCTTTGTTTCGTATGTTACTGGCACCCGTGAAGTCGCATTAGTGTAACCACTTTACACTAATCTAATTAATGCCTGCCACTAGCCACTATATGTTCTTGTACATAATTAATACTACAGAATAGCTAGACTTCATTTCTTGATGTTTAATGCTTTTAGATTTTGGACATATCGACTTCAAATGGTACTGTGTATTATTAATATTAGACAGAGACTTACATTTTGTATTTAGTTTGGAGGTGGGAACTGAGTTGAGTTGTTTTGGTCTCAATTCCCGGTTACTAATTAAATATTTCGTTTTTCTTGAATTTGTATTGAATTTGCAAAAAAAAAATCTAAAAGGCGGGGCATGAAGTTTCATAAACGCTGCATCAGAGTGAAAGTGCATAAAATAATTTTGTTTAATTTTTATTTTGGGTAAAAAATACTAGAAGTAACAACCTAATTTATTTGTAGTAAATGGTATAAAATTATAACTTATTTTTTCTTGATTGAAAATTTTATATGTAAAATGAAGACCTACTTCTAACTTATATAACTTTTTGGGCAATATACCTTGGAATTATGGTGATGGAACATAAGATATTATGTTATTATTAGCCATATGATAAAATTGATTTTAGTACAATTCTATAATGGATGTATCATATTCACTATTTAGGCATACAACTATCGTTGATGTTCTTTGATTTGCCTCGACCCTAATAGCCTGGTAGGGTTACTTTCCTAGCAAATCTTTTTAAAATATGTTGTTATTTTGTAAAGAAAACAAAAGTTTATTCCCTCAGACGGAAGAAATTAGAAATACATTTCAAAAAGTAAATCGCCACGAAAGTACTTCGATATATTGCTTTTAAATTGCCTTAAAAAAAACTGAACGCAAGTTACTATTTTATGCTAAAAACAAATGAAATAAGATATGATAATTTTTTGTGAAGTTTTGATTAAGCCGTTGGGAGGACACCTACTTGCGTGGTTAAAGATTTCGACCGTTGTGAGGGGGTGCCCACCTCATGATTTTCTGTGTGGTGTGTTTTTGTTTCCTTTTATGCTTCTCTTTTGTCTTAACTTAACGCTCCTCCTCGTGCCGTTGAGTGTGAATCATGGCGTCTTTGCGTTGACAGATTCTACTTATTTAACGTCACTGTTAACAATCCTCTTCTTCATTGTGCCAGTCAGAGACAGAGACAGAGAGAGAGAGAGAGAGAGAGAGAGAGAGAGAGAGAGAGAGAGAGAGGGAGGGAGGAAGCGCCATTAACGGGGCCTGTGTTCTTCAAGGTAACCTTGCTTAATTTTAGGGTTTCTTGATTCTGTTATAAATGCTCAAATCATATGACTTCATTTAGACTTTTATTCATGGATTTCGTTAATAAATATATATATATATATATAATGTAGTGAAATTTGAAGGTTAAGAAGAAATGGAGGGAAAGAGCAAGTTGTCAGCACACTGGTGGTGGTTTGACAGTCAGAGCAACACTATCCCAAGGAAATCTCCATGGCTACACTCCACTCTTGCAGGTACCGACATTATTATCCTTCTTCTACAATCTACACTCGTAATTAATTAATTAATCATATATGGATTTGGTCTGAATCATATGCTTTATAAATACTTCCTAAATGTACTGCTATTTGATTTGATTGATAGAACTGGATGACAAGACGGAGGCAATGCTTAAACTGATCGAGGAAGATGCAGATTCATTCGCAAAACGTGCAGAGATGTATTACAAGAAACGACCCGAGCTCATTAGCATCGTTGAGGATCTGTATCGAGCCCATCGATCGCTAGCTGAAAGATATGATCAGGTCAAGTTTGATAGTGGAAGCCGCCACTTGATCACTCCATGGACATCGTGTCCTTTACCTTTGTCCAAATTCCGAACTTCGCATTTGGTGAAGGAATCAGAGAAATCATACGACAGCTACTCTGAGTCTTTTGACTTTGACCATGATTTTGATTCTGTTGAATCTGATATGTTTGATGAGCCCCAACACGCGTCTTCTTTTAATGATGAAACTGAAGAAGAGGAAAAGAGTAGTAGTAGTTCAGACGAAGAAGGAATGAAGTTGAGGGAAGAATTAGAGAGGCTGAGAGAAGAAAACAAGGTTCAGAAGGAAGAATTGATTCAGAAAGATGAAGAGAAAAGAGAGGCGATCAGACAACTAAGTTTTTGTGTGGATTTGCTCAAACAAGAAAATCTAAATCTCAAAACAAGAATTGCTAAAGATTCTTTCAAGAAGCAAAACAGCAGCCCATTTGAGTTTACCAAATTCAAAGGGGTATTTTGGGGAATATTCAATGGTGAAGCTACTACTGCTGTTGCTCTATAGACATTCACAGGTATATTTTGACATATTCTTGATATTGATATTTTTTCTAAATAATGTTCTGTTTGTCCCCAAAAAAGTTAACTTTTTAAAATTTACATATTACCAAGTTACTCTTCATTTTCTAAAAGATTTATTTCGTTAATTTATTTAAAAAAAAAAATATATATATATATATATATATATATATATATATATATATATATATAGTAAATTTAATTTGTTCATGTAAACTTTGAAGTGGGGTCTTCTTTTCCTTTGGGATGGATATGGATAACATTTGTGTTGGATCTTTTTTATGGGTCATTGTGTAGTGGTGTCCTTTTAGAATTGGATTATTCCATGTACGGTGTTGATTCTTTGTTACTTTAAGCAATGTCAGAATATAGACAGTCTTCAAATTCAAAATGGTTCCTGTAATTTTGCTGTGGAATGTTTGGGTTACTATTTTCTTGGGCCTTTCCTAGATCTTCAAGATCTCTCCAACTTTGAAAAAACACACTTCCTTGAATTATTATTGGCTAAGAAACGAATACACACGACTCAAAGATATTATGATTCCATAATACTTAATTAAATGGCTGTCTTCAAAGATATTATGATTCCATAGTAGTACTTAATTAAAATGGTTATCTCTAAACCGCTATCGTCTTTGGTTTTGGTCTGACCCGGTGGTTAAAATTTTGCTATTTTTAAAAATATCTTACTAAACACTTTTTAAGTTTTATTGGTTTTTCAAAAAATTCAATAAACTCTTCTAAAACTCAATCACAAACACCCAAAAAAGAAATATAATTGCCTGTTCGGTTTAAAACACACCTTGTTTGTGAGCCCCTCCTTGAATTTTAGGTATCAACCCGCTGATTTACTAAAGTTTCATAATGCCTTCATTGTTTGATGTTTATATCATAATAGTACAAACTTTATTTTCTTACAAATCCACCACAACACAAAAGTTGTATAATGTATATTGTCCTAGACTGAAAAATAACGGATTAACGCTAACCGTCAACAAAGTGAAAACATAAAAGCCTCACATAAATAATAAAGAAGATTAATATTTTTAAATAAAAATTTAGGATGGAATTACACAAAACAAAACACGTACTTGGAAATATATTATATACGAAAATATTTTTAGGGATTATAAAACGTCTAATCACTAGAACGAACTGAACATTCAACGAACCGTTCAACGAGAAATTCGTTTATGTTCGTTTATTTAATAAATGAATGAACATGAACACAAATTCTCTCATTTAATTAAACGAACGAACATGAACAATAGTCTTGTTCGTTCAATTATGTTCATGAATTTTCACTTATGTTGTTTGTTTACGTTCGTTCGTTTAAGTTTCTTAATTTTCATATATGTTCAATTATTTTTTATTACATTAGTAAATTATATGTTCGTGAACATGCTAAATGAACATAAACGAACGAACATGAACAATGTAATTTGTTAAACGAACGAACATGAGTAAGAAAACTCGGTTGTTTATCCGTTCGTGTTCGTTCGTTTGTTCGGCTAACTTAAACGAAAGAACATGAAAAAGTCATTGTTCATGTTCGTTCGGTTCGTTTTCTATTTATTTATTTTCAATGTAAACACTATAAAATTATGAACTCTTTCTAGGCATGTTTACTAAAAATTTAATTTTGAGTTTTAAGTTTTTTATTAAGCTTGTAAAAGTAACATCGTTTTGTGTTATTAGACATTTTGTAATCCCAAATAATATTTTCATATATAATATATTTCCAAACAAATGTTTTATTTTGTGTAACTCCATTCTCAATTTTTATTTAAAAAATATTAATGTTTTCGATTATTTATGTGAGGCTTTTTTTGTTTTCACTTTGTTGACCGTTGATGTTAAATCTTTATTTCCGAGTATGGGGCACTATACAATATACATCATACAACTTTTATGTTGTGATGGATTTGTAAGAAAATAAAGTTTGTACTATTATGATATAAACATCAAATAACGAGGGACATTTATGAAAATTTAGTAAATCATTAGGTTGATACCTAAAATTCAAGGAGGGGCAAACAAACAAGGTGTGTGTTAAACATAGCAGTCGATATCTCGTTTAACTTTTTTTTGGGTGGTTGGAAATGAGTGTAAAAGAATTTATTGATTTTTTTAAAAACCAATAAAGTGTTTAGGTAAGGATTTTTTTTAGGAAATCTTTAGAAAAATCCTAAAGTTTTGGGTTAATTTATGATCTAGTTCTAAGTTAAATGTCATTAATAAAAAAGGACAAGTAACCAACTATTGTAATCACATGACCTAAGCAACAAAGTAGTCGAGATCGCGATGAACATAAGCATCAAAAACCCAAACAGGTGTACAAAAATACTAATGATTGTCCCACGTAAAATGTCGTGAGAAAAACCTAAAGAAATAATTCATAAGTACTGAATGAGTACAAAAACAAAAATGACTTATTTTGCAACAAAATAATATTAGAGACTAAATGTGTACAAAAATATTAAGGATTAAATTGTACAAATTGAAAATATATTACCTTATTAAGTCATTTTTATCGGCTAACCTGGATAGCCGGTGATAAGAATTGAATGTGTACAGTTTAACAAGTTCAACGGTTAAATGTGGATGAAAAAAAACTCAATTGATCAAATATATAAAAATCAAAAAATATATAAAAATTAAAAGTGTACAGTTTAACAATCGTACCTTTAAACCTACCTTTTCTCTTTCTTGATTCCTGATACGAAGTTTTTAAAACCCAAATGACAATTATACGCTCAGACCTAGTCTTTCTCTTTCTCGTTTTCTGATACGATTCACAGACGACGCCTCCAATCACAATTTCTTCTCTATCTCCCATCTTCTTCTCTCTAGCCACCGTGCGCAGCTCTTCGATCTCTACCGCCATCATCCTTGTCGACTCAGCTCTCCGATCTCCGATCTCCACCGCCGCCAGCTCTCCGATCAGGTAACGAATTTGCTTTTTCTGGTTATGATCTTTTCTGTCTATGTTTATAATTCTCGATATCTCCATGTCTATACTGGTTATTTCGATTTTCTGCTTATTCGGATGGTTTCAACACCAAAAGTTTCCTTTTCTGATTATCATATTCTCTGTCTATTGCCATCTGCTGACACGAATTTCTGCCAAATTGCAAAGATTTCTGGTTAACCTGTAGTTGTGAATGATTTTTTGTCTCAAATCTTCCATATGCTAGGGGAATCTGCCATCTGAAATCTGCAATGGCAAATTTTTGTGAATTGCTTATATTTTTTTCTGCCAAATTTTTGCAATGCTAAAGATTACTTTCGTGTCTCCAATCTGCTACTTCAAATTTTTGTGAAGCTCCTAAAACTTGTGTCTGATTTGTGATATCTGATCTGCGAATTGTTTCCAATGCCAAAAATACTAAATTTCTGAGGTTTTGATTATTTCTCCGATTAAGTTAGTGTTGGTTCAGGATTTCATTCTATCTTCATTAGTTTATGTTTAGGTATTTTTTAGGGTTCATTTTAACCTCTATTATATTGTTAGAAGTAGAAGACAACATGAACATGAGTGATGGATTTTGTTGTGGTCAGGTTGCTTAGGTTGAGTTGAGATTTGAGAAAGAATTAGAGTGGTGAGAAAGTATGACTACGGCTGCTAGACCGACATGGGCACCTGCTAAAGGTGGTAACGAACAAGGTGGAACACGAATATTTGGTCCTTCTCAGAAGTATTCCTCCAGGGATATTGCTTCTCACACAACCCTCAAGCCCAGGTTACTTCTTCTTTTTTTCCTTCTATATGATATTTTAGTATCTATCAATTGGAATCATTCTTGTAGCATTGAAACAAATCCTTAAATAAGTATTGTATTGCACAAGGGAGATTGCTTGGTTATTTAGTTTTGAATATTGATTGGTGTTTGCTACTACATTACATACAGAAAGGATGGTCAAGACACGCAAGATGAACTAGAAAGGAGAGACCTCAAAGAGGAGTTGGTGGAGCGTGAGCGCAGACACTTCTCATCTAAAGACAAGGGTTATGGTGGTAAAATCACATCACATCACATGAATCATATCTTCATCTGTAATAAATAAATAATAATAATAATAATATTAGTGTTGGCTATTCATTAGTTGACTTGTGGTTGCAGAGGATAGAGACCGTAGAAAAAGTGGTCATCACCTACTGGAAGGTTCGTATTGCACCTCTAAAAACTTGACATGTTTTCATTGCTTTTCTAACCAGTATGAATATTACAGTGTTCATATGTGCAAAATTTTAATCTACTTACTGTTTAAATATTTAATATCCACAGGATCAAGGAGAGAACTAGAGGACCGAATTGTTCCACGCAGTGCTGATGCTGATGATGCTGATTTAGATGTCAAAAGTGATGATGACAGGTTTGTATTTTACCTGTTTATCTTCAAATAGCCACAGACTAAGTGGCTGTTTTTTTTTTTTACTCGTTAAATTCTGTGTGGGTAAAGTGGCTGAATGGGTAATGATGTCTGTCTGTGTGGATAGTGATGAAGAGGATGATGATGATGATGATGATGAAGAAGATGATACAGAAGCACTTTTAGCAGAGCTTGAACAAATCAAGAAGGAACGCGCGGAGGAAAAACTACGCAAAGTGAGTTGAGTTGTGTTACTTAACATATGAAATAGGAATATTTCTTTCTTTACTTTGGGATTTGTATTGTATGGTGACATGACATGGATTTGGTTTGTAAATTGTACAGGAACGTGAAGAGCAAGAAGAGGAGCTTAAACTGAAAGAGGCCGAGTTGATAAGAGGGAACCCTTTGCTTAATAATCCAACTTCAACTTCCTTCAATGTTAAACGCAGGTATTGCAATTTGCCCCTCTTTCTTCCTTTTTCTTTATTTATATTATTTATCTGATCTTGATTTGTGATTGACAGGTGGGATGATGACGTGGTGTTCAAGAACCAAGCCCGTGGAGAAACCAAGGCTCCAAAGCGCTTCATCAATGACACCATTCGCAGTGACTTCCATCGCAAATTTCTTCACAAATACATGAAGTGAAGTGTGTAATCATCCATCCACTCCAAATTTTGCTAATAGGCAAAAACACAACAGTTTGTTATCTTTGTTTCTATAATGCTTCATAGTATTGTTGAATTTGTCATCTGTCTTCTTTTCTTCCATGAAACATTTGGGAGGGAATGGATGATTCATTCTACTTGGAATACTTATCATGTACATTTCTGACAAAGTAGTCATCCATTTCGTCGACAAAATTTTTAAATATTTATTAGTACAAAGTAACTGTTTATTTACCAAAAAAATAATAATAACATCTATCATTTTGCGGAGAAGCAAAGAAACCCTTCTTAAAACTTTCTTTTTCTAGTGGATTTCACGAAAAAAACATTTCTTGAAATCAATTTTGTGATAGGTCTCACCTTTTAATGATTTACTAGATAGAAAATCAAGTCAACTTCTTATAAACCTGTGCTCAACTTGCTACCTTTTTTTTTTAAATGACAAACTAACCTTCTCTAAATACTACATGTCTTCTAATCAGATTTCAACTCATGACTTCTCATTCGATAAAGTCACTTCTTACAGTTACCCAATGACCCTTTCTTAACTTGCTATTTGTTTAAGCTTGCTTATATTCGAGATATATCATATACATTAACCACCAAAAAACAAACTACTACTATTTGATAAAAGCTTCTCAATTACACTGCAGTCTGCAGATAGTGAACAGCCAAAAGCACAACAAATCATCTTTATAAAGTACATTGAACAGTCAAAAAAACATATTTACATATCAATAATTACAGACTAAACCACATACATAAATACATACATGAAAGAATAAAAATCTTACAATTTTACCCTACCAGTAACAAGAGGGAAGGGAAGGTGCCATAAATCCATATAACGTTCTTGCGCTTGATTTCTACGTGTAATATACAAAACAAAGAACCCATTTCAATCATTTTCTTCTTTACTTGGGTCATCATCCAATACAAACTCTACATACAATTATATATTTTATGAATGGACAGCGGTCAAAAACCATCCATCCATTCACAACCTTTAGATCAACCCTGCCCGGTCCAAACATATTTTAGATGCAGGTCGAGAGGAATAAAAAAAACTCCTCAAATAATATCAAGATTAATGTTGTATAACATATATATTTATCCATACATAAAGCAGTCAAACCATTCAATATTTCTTATGACATTGATGCCCTATTTCTTTTAGAACCTTAACTTTTAAAAACTTCTCTGTATGAGTTCTATAGTGACAAGAATAATGGTTAATATGATTTTCTATGCAATGAGATTCTAACCGCTAAGACTTAGAAATTGAGACGACGTAATCGACCAATCCATTCTATTATTTCTTGATTGCTTCATAGGTCGTCAGTTTACAATTCATCGATTCGATTTCCCCCTTTTGGTTGCATCTACCCACCTTCTTTATGAACAACAGTTATTATACATATGCTTATTGCTTCTTTCGGTTTCCAATAACGTATCAAATTTGGGCCTTTGAATTTGGTTCCTTCACATTTCTAGTAATTTCTAACTTTTTTTTTCTTAAAAATAGACTAAGAATTAATATTACATAGCCCATAAAATTTTGGGCCCCTCTGAATGATGGGCTATAGGTAGTCACCCCTATCACTCATTGTCTAGGCTGGACCAGAGATCAACCTCTAGATTTAATCACAACCATTTAAAGTCCATCTTTACGAGCTTTTTTTTTCTTTTTTTGCGGTTCTTTCTCTCTTACAACTCCGAAAAGCTCCCACATCTCCTTTCCCGCTGCTCACGCTTCCGAGGAGCCAACTTCCCCCCCACAATCCCCATTCCCATTATACAATATGCACCGAGGGGGCCAGTATCCTTTATGACTTTGTCACCCGTAGACCTGCCGGTCCCACTGTAGCTAGCAGCGAGGTGCGGGATAGTCAGTCCCGTATAGATCTATACACAACAGTCACGCTCTCCCTACAAGAGATTCTGGTCATAAGTGCTAGTCCTACACTCTGTTTCGGTGGTGAGTGTTACCAAGGACGTGTCTCCAACTAGACTAACAAATTTACAAGTAATAATATGGAAAATCCTTTTTATGATTTGCTTGAATCCTTTATAAAGTAATACGTTTTGCTACATGATTCACAAGTTCGTTACCCTAGTTTTGAAAACTGTTTCTACGAGTTGATTTCTTAATCGTTTGGTAAAACTGTTTTCTGTGTTAAAAGCATACTGAAGATAAAATTATCTTAAACAAAATAATATACTTGAGCACAAGTTTCCTTGTACTTTTGATTGTATTCCCCCCTGAAAACATGAAAAACTCGGAAAAAGCGTAGGGGTATGAACTCACTGTGGTTGTGTGGAAACGTCCACTGGAAACGAAGATCCTCGGGTTGTTGTACGTGGCACTTAACGGAATCCGGACCTGCTTGAATCGAGAAAACGAGCTTTCACCACTTAGGAAGAGTTTGCGGCCGTGAAGAGTTTACGGCCGTGAACTGGGTTTACGGTCTTTGAAGATGGGTCGTAAACGGGTTTACGGTCTTTGAAGATGGGTCGTAAACTCAAGAACAAGGGTGCTGATTTTGAAGAGAAATGTGTTCCAGATGCCTCGAAATAACTCTAAACGGTGTTTCTCGGTGTTTTCTCGAAGATTGAAGGCCTTCTAGGTGTTTACGGTCAAGAGTTTTAGAGAGAGAAAGAGAGAGTTTCCGGTCAAACGTGTTCAAATGAGGGTAGGGGTCTCATATTTATAGGGGTTTTGTGGTCGGTGGGTGGGGTCCACCCGACGCTGGCCGCAAACGAGTTTACGGCCGTAAATAGGTTTACGGCCGTGAACTCCGGTCAGGCCGTGAACATGATTTTTTCGAGGATAATTCGAGTTTCGCGCGGTTTTGGTTCTGACTTGCATATATAAGTTTAATTATATAATACCAGATGATTTTCTAAATCAAAGGTTCGACGGAAGATTAATAAAATTCAAATTTTATTAACGGAATTGCATAATGGAAACGGAAAAGTTTCGGGTTGTCACATCATCCCCCCGTTAGAGGGAATTTCGTCCCGAAATTCAAGAATAGAGATAGAAATTATAGACTTGGAAAAAGATAAGGGTACTTCTGTTTCATTGAATCCTCACGACCCCAAGTGAATTCAGGTCCCCGCTTGGCATTCCAGCGAACCTTCACTATCGGGATGCGACTTTGTTTCGTTCGTTTGACTTCTCGATCCGTGAGTTCAAATGATTCTCACACAAAGTGTAGACTCTCGTCTAACTCGATATTATCAAAGGAAAGTCGCAAGTGTCTCATCGGACAGACACTCCTTTCGGTTAGACGCAAGGAAGGCGGGATGAACGTTGCTAGGCGCTCAAGGAAATTGGAGTTTGTATGCTACGGGACCGATCCTAGCAAGAATCTCAGATGGTCCAACGTATCTTGGATTTAGCTTTCTACGCTTTCAGAAACGCACCAGGCCTTTCCAGGGTGAGGCCTGCAAAGAACACGTCCTCCAATCTTGAACTCCAATGGTTTTCGTCTCTTATCGGCGTAGCCCCTTTTGTACGATCCTTTTCAGTCGTCTCTCGGATGGTTTCAGGACTTGTGAGGGTGCTGTCGGGGACTTGACTCTTGTCTAGTTGCGTGTCGCCCACCTCAGCCCAGCACAAAGGGGTCTGTACTTACGGCCATAGAGGGCTTCGAACGGCGCAACCTTGATGCTGGAAAGGTCGCCGTTGTTGCAAGAAAGTTCCACTAAGGGTAGATGAGTGTCCCACGACGTATTTACAATTGTCCGAATTGTTCTTTTACTTTGTCCGTTTCTTTGTGGATGATACTCTTCGCTTGAATACTTTCGGGTTTCGAAAAGAGATGAATTTTTCGAAGTTCACATCTAGCTCGTCGATACGAGCGACGAGAGTTTTGTGATTGAACGATTTAAGGCCAAAGGGTTTGGTATATCGTAGACTTAGTCGGACTAAACAGGATGACGTCGTAGAATCGTGTGTTATGTTAATCCAGGAGGATCGTTTTGTTCGAACATTGGCGCCCTGGATGAATGTCTCTGGTGTTTTCTGTGTTTGATTCGAAATTTGTGGGTACTACTAACACGAGGGTCCTGACGTTTTGAAACTATGAACTCTTATGAAATGGTTCCTACTAGATCTCTCTATGATCGTTCGGTGTATACAAGCCAGGTATAACTACAACTGACCCTAATGTATTCACTAAGTTATCATAATTTGTTCATTAGGGCCTTAAACCTTATAAGGATTTCCTGATTTAATCCCGACGAGAAAGTAATCACAATTATGAACAATTATTGAGGTTTTCGAAAACGTACCAAAACATGGCAGGGTCCTTCGATGCTTCCTCATCCTCTGGGGTCAGACTCCTCCTGTTTCCTCATTGTTCTTCTCTGTTGGGCAGTCTCTTTTGAAATGTCCCATTTCGCCACATGTACAGCACACTCGAACCATGCTAGCGTCGGTAGTGGAAGTGATGTGTTGAGTCGGGGTCTTTGCAAAGCGAGCTTCCTGGCCATCCTTAGCCCTTGGACAATTTCTTTTGAAATGTCCTACACTACCACAGAGGTAACAGGTTGAAATTGTCCCAACTTTTGTAGTCGGAGTGATGAACTTGACTAGGGTCCTACAACTGCGGGAGGTGTGCCCCTTCCTGTTGCATCTAGTGCAATGCAGCTCTCGACAGACTCCGTGATGGTGGTAGTTGCATTTGCTGCAGTGCGGGAGATTTCCAAAGTAGGGTGTGGTTGGGGTTGGAACATCAGGGTTGGCTGGGGTGTTAAATGCCCCAGTTCGTTGCCTTTCAGTAGGTCCTTGGGTTGAACAACTTCCTTGGAACTTTCGTTTCAGGATGTTAGGTTGGAGATAAGGTGTGTCCTTTATAGTAGTCACTTGTTGTTGAGATTGGTTAACACCAAGATTTGGATTGCCATTAACCCTTCCACCCACATTTGTGTTGTTAGCGTTAAGAACAGTTAGGGCGGCTGCTACCGCTGCTGTGACAGTAGCTTGGAACGTAGCTGAGTCCATCTGGAGGATTGGTGTCTTACCGATGGGTTGGTTACGTTTCTTCGGAGGCATGATCTGCTACACGTCAAGAAAAGAAGCTTGTGAGCAACTATGGTTGCCTCTGGATGTATCCTAAATGTTTATCTATGCAATAAGATTTCCCGTTTTGCTATCTGACTCTCATTGATTCGACCCACATCCCCATGATGTGGTCTTAACATGACTAG